CCGCAGCTGGCCGCTCGGCTGGCCCGGCCACCACGTGGCGAGGGCGTCATCTGACCAGCGTCTTCCCTCCCGCATGGAAGCCTTAGGACCCAAATCTGTGGATTTAGGCTTCTGTTTTTTCCTGGCGCGAAAGACTTAATTAAGCCTAGGGGGAAACTTGAGTTGCGTGGTGCCCTATTGCCCTGCGAGCCTCTCCCGCTCCCTGAAACTTAACCTCTGAGCTTCCAGGCGACTCCAGCACCAGGGCCGAGGGACTCACTCATGGCCAACTTTGGCACCTCCTCCATCAACCTACCTTTTCAATCGGAGGGTCTGCCAATGCCCAACGATTTTCAGAAAAGGGGATGAGAAACTTTTTTATATTAACCAGTTGCTTGTCTATTTCTAAACCATGCACATCACTCGGCCTAGTTTTCATCTTCTTTCTCTCACTGCCCCTAGTTAAATTTTCCATTTATCATTTTCCTATAACATTTTTACCACTGCGTAGAGGACTTGGTTTCATGTGGATGGATGGGTGGATGGATGGATGGATGGATGGATGGAAGGATGATAGAACTATCGAGCTTGTGTTATTATGATGGAGACAGGTGGCAGCTGGACGAAATGTTTTATCAGGCTATACTCTGAGAGCTAGCAAATCCCTTATATGGTGCAGGCATTTATTAATCCATATTAACTTCATCCATATTACTAGACTGTATCTTCTGAAGTTGACATATTTCAAATTGTTTCCCTTTTATTTCACAGACCTGTTTTCACATGTGGTGGTGTTCTTACTGGAGAGTCTGGATTTATTGGCAGCGAAGGTTTTCCTGGAGTGTACCCTCCAAATAGCAAATGCACTTGGAAAATCACAGTAAGCATATTTTAAAAGGGTATTCTCCTTGAGTGGGTATTATTAACAATGGAAGACTGCTGCTTTTTTTCTCGGAGATCAAGATTTGGGTAAGGGGCAAATGCCTGATAGTGAAATGTTGGATTTATCTCAGCTATTTTGGAGATTTTTATTAATAGAACTAGTGGTGTCTTGCATTAGCAATTGGAAAGGGTGCAAGATAAAGCTTGAAGGAATAAATGCTTAAAGCAGATGTGTTTCTGAAAACCCAGCCTGACTCAACTGAGTTTCATGGATTAAAACGTAAGGGTATTTTGTCAAATGTCTGTGGTAATGATTGTTAGAAATTATTTTGTTGCCTGGGCCTTGCATAAATGTCTCCCAGTGGGGAATAGAAGATCAAAGATAGTGCTCTCCCCTGACTACTTTACACCATCACAGAAAAAAAGGGGGTGGGGGCAGAAAATGGAAAAAAAATCCCAGTTAATGTTCCTGACTTGAAACCACCACTGAAGACAACCTAAGAATGATTTCACTTATACGTGGAACCCAATGAACAATATAAACAAACAAACAAAACAGAAACAGACTCATGGATACAGAAAACAGACTGATGATTGCCAGAGAGGAAGGGTATTGGGGGATTGGGTGAAAATGTGAAGATTTAAGAAGTACAAATTGGTAGTTACAGAAGTCATGGACTATAAAGTACAGCATAGGGAATATAGTCAATAATATTGTGCTATGTACGGTGCCAGGTGGGTCTGGAAATATTAGGGAACACTTTGTAAAGTATATGATTGTCTAACCTTTATGCTGTACATCTGAAACTAACACAAAATAATATTGAATATAAGATAAATAAATTAACAAAAAAGTGAGAATAATAATAACCTGGGGGATTAAATACCAAACGAAGGCTAATAAAACGTCCATGCTGGTTAGTAATGGCATCGATTATGCTGAGTCAAGATAAGACGTCAGATTTAGAGCCATCCAGCTTTTATAAAGTGTCTGGATTTAGAATCAGCTACACTGAGTCATCTTTCCAGTCAGCATAGTAGTGACTATTTTCTTCTTCATTCTTTGGTTGTTGGGAAGTTGTTTGGTAATTTAACACATTGGTTCACTGAGACCTTCATTCATTCAGATTGTGCCACTCACAGATTACGATTTTTAAAAGTAGCTACCTCTTATTGAGCACTTAGTGTGTGCCAGGCACTGTGCCAAGTAATTAACAAGAATAATCTCACTGGATGCTGCCAATCACTCTTAAGAAAGTAACATTATTATCCTCATTTTATAGATAGGGAAACTGAGGCTAGAACATGATATAAAATGACTTGATCAAATAGTTGGTAAGTCCAACTTTATGTAAAGTGAAACCTGTTTTGCATTGAGGCATTCCCACCAGGAGGGTCATTTGATAGCCATAAATAAGCCATGGCTCTTAGATGCATTGGTGTGCTCCTATCAAATACCAACTGTCTGATGAACTGGAACAGATTTCATTATGTTATTGTAGCACATGGGGCCAGAAGAGCTTAAATCATAGAAAATAGCTTTGAACTATTGATATTAACATAAATGTGAAATAAAGCTCTGAAACAAACATAAAAATAACTTGGTTTTTAAATAATAGTTGTGTTCCAATTGGAATTAAATGGCTGTAAGGTAAAAATGATCCAATAAATTTAATGACTGAGAGACATCATGGACCTAAAATGGAAGAATTCACAGCTGGCCATTCATTTGGGGTATTAGGGGACATAGTTGGTGTGACTTTGATTGTGGGTTGGGGGAATGTGGTAAAGGTATTCCTTGGTAAAGAAGTGGTGTGCCTCAGGAGAGGCCTGCCACCTCATTCTTTTATGTGGGGGCAGAGGAAGTGTAATGGATATTCCATTTGGATGCCATGTAAGGCATGTAGTCTTAGCAATCAGACATCATCAGACATCCCTAGACTCAAATTCTCATTCTATCACTCATCATTTGTGTGACCAGGATTTATCTCCTCTAAATCTCAAGACTGTTGTGAAAATAAAATGAGATAGTACATGTAAAGCCCTTTGTCTCAGTGCCTGGGATATAATAAGTACTCAATAAATGTTAGTCATCGCTATTTGAGTTTTTATTATCCTCATTATTGCTGGTATTAAGTTGTCCTATCTTCTGCCCCAGTATAACAGATCACTACCATCCCCTCGCCACATTGGACAAGCTGGGCTTGGCATCAGCACAAAGCAACGCAGACTTTTAGGGAGCAATCTACATTGTCATCCATATCTAGGAAGACCTTATATCTGTGTTTGGGTTCTCCTGTAATCTTACTGGATCAATTCTGTGTGGATTAGAGCTAAGTAGGCTTCCAGTAACAGAGACCTAAAATAACAATGGCTCAAGCAGATTTTGGTTCTTTCTCACATAAAGGAATCTGGAGGTAGGCAACCAGGAGTGGCGTGGCAGATTCTCAATCATTAGGCATGCTGTATCTTTCTCTCTTTCTGTTCCGCATGCCACTGCATTGTCCAAGATAACTGCTCAGCTTCCAGCCTTGATGTTCATGTTCCAGCCAACTAAAAGGAAGAGAAGAAGGGCATATATCTTCCTTCTAAAGGCATTGTGCATAATTACATGCAACTTGCTGCGCATATATAATTGGCTGGTTTTTAGTTACATGGTCATGTCTAGTAGCAAGGGAGCTGAGAAACTCGTCTTTTGTTGCTGTGGGAAGAAAAGAAAACAGCAGGTGACAGCAGTCTCTACAAGCGTATGTATTTGGGGTGTGAAATCGAGAAACAATATGCCAGCCATTTTGGGGGGAAAGAAAAGTCTTTAGAAAGCATAGTTAATGCAGAAGAAATGATTGCACAATTTGCTTTTCTGGTTAAAGGCTTTATAGTTTTAACTCTTAGCCAGTTGAGTTTATTCTCTTTCAGGGGTTTGCCTCTTTTATGTTTGCATTTGAGTAGCTACCAAGAACTTCCAGAGAAGCCCAGCACTCTTCCTCTCTGTTTTAATGATAGCCTCAGCAGAATGTTCACAAAAGCCCTGGGTGCTCTCAAGGTTTCAATGTAACAATATCTTTATTTCTTTGTATTTCACAGGGAATAGCACTAATTTGTTTGTAAGAATCTTCAGGGTCCTCTGGTTTGTCAGAGTAGCAGAAGGGAGCTCTTAGCTCCTGTAGATCTTAGGGGAGATGAAAGGAGGAGAACTGTGGTAGAGCTAAAGTTGGTAGCCCTGAGATCTTTCATTCATTCAACAAATGTGTGTTGTGTGCTGGGTACTGTTGGGGTTATGGCAGTGAACAAGGCCTCCTGGCTCCTTGCCATCATGCAGCTAGTTTTGGGAGACAGGCAATTGATGTTTAAAAAACAAATTAAACAAGAAAATCAAGTATTGATAAATCCATTACAAAAATAGAATAGATGTTACTTCACTGCCATTAGGACGGCTACTATGAAAAAAACACACGACACTACAGAAAATAATAAGTGTTGGCAAAGATGTGGAGAAATTAGAATCCGTGTGCAATTGTAAAATGGTATAACTGTGGAAACAGTATGGCAATTTCTCTAGAAATTAAACATAGAACTGCCATATTATTTAATAATTCCACTTCTGGGTATATTCCCACAGGAAGGGAAAGCAGGGCCTGGAACAGTTTATTTTATGTCCATGTTCATAACACCATTATTCACAATAGGTAAAAGGTGGAAGCAATCCAAGTATTTGTCCACAGATGAATGGATAAGCAAAATATGGTACAGACATACAAAGAACATTATTCAGCCTTAAAAGTAAGGAAATTCTGACACATGCTATAACATGGGTGAAGACATTATGCTAAGTGAAATAAGCTGGTCACAAAACAATAAATATTGCAGGATTCCACTTGAATGGAGCACCTAGAGTAGTCAGTCATAGAGACAGAAAGTAGAAGGATGGTTGCCAGGGGTTGAGGGAGGGAGAATGGGAGTTAGTATTTGATGGGGACAGAGTGTCAGTTTAGGAAGATGAAACAGTTCTGGAAAAGGATGTTGGTGATGGTTGTACAGTACACTTAAAAATGGTTAAAATAGTAAGTTTTATGTTATGTAAATTTTATCACAATAAAAATATCTTAAAAATAAAATAAAATAGCCTAGCTAATTGAGCGTCAACCCGTAAACCAGAAGGTCACGGTTTGATTCCCGTTGAGGGCACATGCCTGGGTTTCTCGCTCAATCCCCAGTAGGGGGTCTGCAGGAGGCAGCCAACCAGTGGTTCTCTATCATCATTAATGTTTCTATCTTTCTCTCCCTCTCCCTCTCTCTGAACACAATAGAAACATACCTATACTAATAAAAGGGTAATATGCTAATTAGACCGGGTCAACCAGCCATATTCTGGACGTCTGACTTCTTTCCGGACAAAGCTATGGTGGTGGGGGCTGAGGCAGAGGCAGTTAGGGGTGAGATCAGGCTGGCTGGAGGTTAGGGGTGAGATCAGGCTGGCAAGGGGTTAGAGGCAATCAGGCTGGCAGGGGAGGGCAGTTGGGGGTGATCAGGCCAGCAGGGGAGGGCAGTTGGAGGTGACCAGGCCAGCAGGGGAGGGCAGTTTGGGGTGACCAGGCCAGCAGGAGAGGGCAGTTGGGGGCATTAGGCAGGCAGGCAGGTGAGTGGTTAGGAGCCAGTGGTCCTGGATTGTGAGAAGGATGTCCAACTGCCGGTTTAGGCCCGATCCCTGTGGAATCGGGCCTAAACCGGCAGACGGACATCCCCTGAGGGGTCCCAGATTGGAGAGGGTGCAGGCCGGGCTGAGGGACAGCCCCCCCCCTCTGTGCCCAAATTTTGTGCACGGGGCCTCTAGTTTTAAAAATAAAAGAAAATAAAACAAAAGTGACGGGATATTGTGTAATTCCATTTACATGAAATGTTCAGAAAAGAAAAACCTGTAGAAATGGAAAAGTATGTTAGTGGCTGCATAGCGCAGGGGATAGTTATGGGGATTAACAGTAAATGGCCAGGAGGGATTGT